ATAACACTCCACCGACAGCGGGTGCGGGGGGGGGGGGGGGGGGGAAAGGCTACCTGACTTAGATATGTACCATAGTGCCGCTCTCCTTTCCAGAATTGTGGATTGGTTCCCACCTCCCCAGTCGCAACCCAAACCTTCAGTGTTGATTGAACAGGAATTATGCCCAGTAGATCTCAGAGCTTTTTTATGGAACCCTCCATGTGAATCTACAGTTTTCCCTCATCCATCCCCTCTCACACTTGCAGCTGTGAAAACATGTAGGCATACTAGCAAATCCGCTTCCCTTACCACTTTGCCTAGCCCTCTATCCCCTCTATTCGACAACTCATTGTTCCCTGCGGGGGTTGCTATCTCCTCGATAGGGGGATATAAGAGAGATGATTGGCCCACCGCTAGGGACTTTATACATGCTTCTACTGGCCGATTTGTGACACCGGAGGCCATTACTACAGATCCTCAAGCGAACTGGCTGTTGGACCTCCAGTTGTCTGGGTTTTGCTCAGTACTTCATACTTCTGAGCAGGCGCACAGACCGCTGACTGACTTTGAACGCTTACTTGTCTCTACGGAGAGGGCTCGCCACACAATATCAGCCATCTATGGGATGTTGCGAGAGGTTCTTCATCAGGCGCCGTTGGGTTATAGAACTAAATGGTGTGCTGATCTGAACAGGGACCTTACAGACTCAGACTGGTCCACCATCTGTCATTACACCCACAAATCATCTGTCTCCTCATATGCCCAGGAAAAAACTACAAAATCCTTACTAGATGGTACAGAGACCCGGTCTCCATACATCGGATCTTCCCTACTTCTCTGGAGACCTGCTGGCGGTGCAAGGAGGTAAGAGGCACGTACCTCCATATATGGTGGACGTGTCCTATGATTTAATCCTTTTGGCAACAAATATTTAAGATCTACAATCATTTATATGGAGATACCCTGGCACCCTCACCAGCTGTGGCGTTACTGTCACTCCTGCCGGGAACCCGGAAATCTCAAAAAAACATGATACTTAGACATATTCTATCCGCAGCTAGGCAAGTGATTCCCTTACATTGGAAGAAATCTAGTACTCCACCCCTTTCTCAATGGGTTAGCCACGTCAATGATACAATGTTGATGGAGGAACTAATGGCGACTGATGCTGATGCCTTTCCTAAGTTCATATCCCAATGGAGTGTGTGGATTCACTTTTCCACCTCCGCCGACCTACAATCCTACCTCTGAACGCTACCGGGCGGTGACTGGGACGCCTGAAAGCATGATACACAACCTCAATTCATGAACCGTGACCCCCCTCTCCCCTACTCCCCTTCCTTCCTCCCTCTCTCCTTTTTTCTTTATTTCCCTCCTTTATCAGTTCTCCTCTCTCTGGTTTCCTCCCTTTCTACAACTTTCCTAACATATCAGGATGTTTGAAATGTTGGTTCGGAAAAGGTATTAAGCGATGTAGACACGGTCTACAATATCTGGCTACGCAAGCTCGAGTCCCACCATACTTATTTTGTGGATATGGTCATAGCGGTAAGGATCCTTTTCGTATGCGTAACCAAGAAAATGCCTTAGCTTTATCGTGGCTCCTGATGTCATGTTGTTGATTTTTTATGTCCTTCTTGAGTTTTGATACTGAATGTTATGAAACTTGTTTAAGAAAATGCTAATAAAAACAGATTCAACACTAAATTGATGCCAACTAGGAAAATTTGAAAGAGCAGACCTACATAAAAATGCCTGGGTGCAGTGACTGACCTATACTTGGAGCATATCCGTTATACTTCTGAGAGTCAATGGCATCTTTCATAGCTATGGTAACCTCATCGTCAGTTGGAAGGTTCCCAAATATTGTAGGGTCTCCTATAACAAAAATGATATGTAGTCAAGATCAAGATCCTTACGTTTCCCTCAAGCAGCCAACCTGAATGTTATGAGGGAAGCAATACAGTACATTAATTAAAAGCACAGTAGTTTATAAGTGTAGGTCTGGGGAAAAAAAACATATAGATATTATTCAATACAACAATATATCAATCAACCACCAGTAGGCACGAGGAGCAGGAAAGCAATTCATTTTTGCTTTATTTATAAAGGTGCACTTATATATTTTTTAAAAAATCTAAGATAATGTTTGACTAGAAACTAGGGATGTCCAGATACCAGTTCAGATACCATTGCCGATACTTGGCATTTTCATGAGAACTACCAGGGTTGCAGCGGTTGCAGCTGGGACCTGGCTCGGGCACTCCACCACTGTCCTGAAATCGTTAGTCTGTATTGTTTAGGAAAACTGTCACATGACAATAAACAAAAATGTGTCAGTACTTGTATCTGTGAGTACTTAGGCAAGTATCAGTACTTGTACTTGGAAAAATGGTATCTGTGCATCCCTTTATATATTCTTAAAAACAAAATCAGAGATGTACAAATCCCAGGAGCTCTGTGTGCTCCTTACAAATGACAGCCGCCTCCTAACTTCTGAATTTTTCTCTAGTCTAGTCTTGGAGCTGGAAAAGTATCTGTACTTTTAATGACTCCGAGTACGGTACTTGGTATCGGAGCATCCCTACTAGAAACATTAAAATGTAACTCAAAGTAGACAGGTAAATACACAGTTTAAATTAATATACTGTATCTGCTTCCTGACAAAGGATTTGTGGTTCAGCTAAACCAGCCTTGTGATCCACAACCCTCTACCAAACCAAAGTGGCAGTTCCTGGACATCTCCACAGAATACATTGCAGGTTAGCAATATGGCCCCAGCTGAGGACCCCACCCCCCCGCCCAGGCTGTGACTAAAAGTTGCAGGAGGACAATAATTAAGTTGTTCCTTGGTGGAGGAGGCTAATATCATGATAGATTCGGGAGATACAAGTTCATACAAATGATTTTTAGGGATTGACTACTGGATTAAACTAAGTATACATTTAGCACTGGATTAAATTGGAGTGGTGGACGTTTGTTCACAATTAGTGCCAAACTCACGATCCGTCACAACATGCATATTTGGGTCAGTCCACTCACAAATGGTATTTGGTTGATACTGTTTGTTGTTATATATAAATATTAAATAGAAATGTACGGTATCTATGTTGCCTCTTTACAAGACCCATAAGTGCCTCTTCCACTGGATGGGACACCGTTCTAATTGCTTGGAGTGCACCTGGGCAGTTTTTAATATATTAAAAATATAGATATACAGTACGTGATGGGTAAAGGATGTGTAGAACACAACCAGTCAACCTTCTTTTCCAAAGTGTATTTATTGGATCCCAGAAATAGATGTCAAGTCAAAAATATAGTGTGTGTGTATATATATATATATGTGTGTGTGTGTGTGTAAAATAACACACTGACCTATAGACAAGGCAATCATTGGCTTGTTAGGATTGGGCGTAGCTTTCATGGTGTCCACAATAGCGCGGATGGGATTAAATGTTTTCTTCGACATCTCAGAAGCCCGTACTGACCACCTCGGTTTTCTGATTTTGATCTTCTCAATGCCATTTGTTCCCTGAATGTTGACATGTACATCCAGGACTTTAGGGTGGACCGAGGAGCCATTCACCTGAATTACATAGGTGTCCGTCTGCATTTCTGCTGTGAGGGGATATAAGAAGTATTAACAAGGGAAGTAGTATGAGATTTTAGATAAAGCATATTTATTTATACAAGAAAAAATTAATTGATATCAAAAACATGAATATGAGCCATTTAATAGCCGAATAATGAAATAAAACAATTCTAAAATACCTTTTTTAAGTAATATTCTTAAAGATATTTTATTTAATATTTTCACAACCCAAAAATAATATTTTTTTCTTTTCAGGTTCAATTTAAAATGTTGCAGATAAAAAAAAAAAATGTTAATGTCTGCTGCTTGCAGCCAGCTGCTTAAAGCAGAACAGTTAAAAATTATAATAATAAACAGTCTTTTTTATCCTACAGCAACAATAAATACTAGGAAAACATTTAAAATGTTTCAAGCTTTGAGAGGTGATCTTTTCTTTGTAGATTTTAAACATCAAATAAACCTTGAAAGAACTT